TATATATATATATATATAAACAAATTAATCAATGAGCTCATCGATGATCTCATCGATTATAATGTAATAGAACTGATTAGTGGTTAATTTTTATTCTCCTAAAACACATAGCTAATCTAAGGATTGAGGTTGAAGATTGTAGGCTATTAATAAAGGAGTATATATATATATATATATAAACAAATTAATCAATGAGCTCATCGATGATCTCATCGATTATAATGTAATAGAACTGATTAGTGGTTAATTTTTATTCTCCTAAAACACATAGCTAATCTAAGGATTGAGGTTGAAGATTGTAGGCTATTAATAAAGGAGTAGAGTGAGTGGTTGAGGGTGTGTAAAATTTTTGTAAACTGTATTTTGGAAAAGAAGATTACTCTTAATTGGAAGACCTTTAAAATTGTAAACGTTGTATTTATAATAAATAAAGAAAATTCTCTTTTTTTATTTTCTTTCTTCTTCTCTTTTGATGATGAAGATGAAGGCTTGCTTCTCAAGGGCCTAACCTCTTGCAATGTAAGTTTTTATTTTTTACTTTTATTTTCTTATTTTACAATTGCATATTTTAGGGTTTTTTTCTTATTTTTAACGTGATTTTTGTTGAGTAGATTTATTGCTTTGTAGTATAGTTTTATTTCATGCTTTGTAGTGTAGATTTATTTTCTTGCTCTTTTATTGCTTTGTATTATAGATTTCATTTTTTTCTTTTTTATGCTTTATTTTCTTTCTTTCTTTATTTGTTTTGTAATTTAGATTTATTTTCTTTCCTTTAATACTTTCTACTATATATTTTCCTTCTTTCTTTTTATTTTTTAATATTAGTAGCTAATTTTTATAGGAAATCGATCTACAATTAGATGAAATTAGTTTAATTTTCTTTTATATTTTTGATTTGCTCTCTTTGTGCTTAAAATAATCATGTTAAGATAATCAACTACAGAACTAATTGGTAGAATAAAGTTTGATAGTCTATGCTTTTCTTTAGTGGTTGATAGGTTATGCTTATTCAATTCTAGGGTTATTATCTAGTTGAGTATTAATATTGGTTAGATATAGTTTTGATAAATCTTGCTTGTTTTTAGTAACTTGATATACTATGCTTAGGAAATCTAAGAAATATGTGAATAAAAAGAGAATAATTCTTAAAAACAATTTAAAATTAGCTACTATATTTAATTCTGAGTTCCTACTCTCTTCTCTTTGTTTTCTCCAAATTATTCTCATTTCTTACTTGTTTTGATTTAGTTTTGTTTTTATCTTCTTGTTCTCTTTTTTTTATTTTGTTATTCTCTTTCTCTCATTTTTCCCTCTTGGTTTAGATTTCTATTTTTTATGCAAACCTCTACCAAAATCACTCTACACTCTCTTTTATGCTCTAATTATTAATTTCCCACACATTTCAATAACCACTTAGATCTACCTTTCTAATACTCTCCTTTCTCATGGATTGATATCTTAAATACTATAACTTGATTGTTGCGCACTTATAATTTTTGCATGTTTTTATCCCCATCAAAATCCTCGCTGAGGAACTCAATATACTACAACTCTCTCAGTCTTAGCTTCATCATATTTCTCACATGTAAACAACCCAGCTTAGATGGGCTTGACTTAGATGGCTTAATAGATGGCTTAATCTGCATAATCTACTGAATCCACTTAAGCTTAGTTCACTAAGTTAACTACCTATACCCCTCTTTCTTCCCCCCCAGGGTATGGATCTTTAACCTTATATAACAAAATTTTCATAAAATATAATAGTGTATAAAAATACACTTCAACATTCTAGGGTCCAAGCTTCTCACCTAATAAAAAGTAGTGTATGAAAGCAACACTTCCACATGGATGTAGTGATCCAACACTGACCTTGGTCATCTATGACTCATAGGGTATCGACTGTACTGATAGCAAAGGTGCACAATATAGAATATATGGCACCATTAATAGTAAATATCCCCAAAACCAAATGGGTAGACTC